TCTCACTAGGGTGTTTTCTGCTCATAAACATTTATTATCTTAGCCACTTACATTGAAATATTCACATTTTCATTTACTTGCATGGAATTCCATGGACCCTATTTCCTCCTTATCCAATTTCTAAAGACCTTATAGTTTTGTAACAACTAATTTACGGTCGCTGTAATTTGTTATTATATACAAACATGGGGAATTCATGAGGCACCCTGTGTTTCGGTCAGCCACGTAAGCCTCACTTGAGCTTTTGACCCTGTTCATTGCCTTCTTCGCCTGGTGGATCTGGAGCCTCCCTTGGATTTGACCTTTTTTGGCTTCTTGTCTCGGGTTCTTTCTCTGCCTCTCCTTGGAGCTCCATTTCCTTTCCTGTATTTTGGACACATCTGCACCAGCTCCCTCATTTCTGACGTGGCTTAGAGCCTGCTCTGGCGATGATCTTAGACTCTGCCGTGAACTCTTCAGTTCCCACAGGAGGATCTGATAGTCCTTGGCTTTTCTCTTCCACCCCTCACATCCCTTCTGTTGTCAAGTCCTGTGATTCGCCTTTCTCTTCTTAACACCACCCTTTTAGTCTGACCTCCTTATCTTTTGCCTGAACCGTTACAACATTCACTAGAGGCCAAAGAAAAGGAAAGTTCAGATGATACGGGTATTTTTCTGGACAGGGACAATGTAAATAATGGAATTTACTGAGCATTTACTATGCATAGCTCTGTTCTAAGCTCATTTCAGTTGTTAACTCATTTAACCCTTAAAACAACCCTATGAGTTAATACTATTTTTCAACGAGAAGACTGAGGTACAGAGGAATTCAGTAACTTGCCCAAGATAGACAGTGATAGTGTTTTGTTTTACATCTCAGATGTCTGGCTATAGTCTACGTTTTTAACCCACCACTGGTCATTCACCAAATATTGAGCACCTACTATGTGCCAGGTACTGTACTAGGTATTGAGGACTCTGAATAATACATATGCTCATGGAAAGCTTATGGTGTCATGGAGGTCACCGTCATCGAAACAAACAAAAGTTTACAACATCACTGACAGGTGCTTCAGTTAAAGAATGTATAGAATGAAGAGGGGAATAGGAAAGGCCCTAGGGAGCTGGGAAAGGCTAAAAGGAAGTGATGCTACTTTAGCTAACACGTGTGCACTGAGTTGCTGTTTGGTGGAGAGGGAGTGTATTTATTGAGATGCTTGCAGGGGAACTGACCCACGGGGAAGTCTGCTCCACTCAGGGAATGCCAAGGAGCTGGGTGTGCTTAGAACAGGGAGAGTGCATTTGGAGAGGTGATGGTAACTGGGGAGTAGGTGGAGATGGGTGTGTGTGTGTGTGTGT